GAGTTGGCAAGAGAGCAGAAACAGACTGGCACCCAGGCTATTAAATCTCTGCAGCATGTTCAAAAACATATTTTTGACTGCTAACAATAGGTCACAAACACCGGAGATGTCCTCACCTTTCTGATTTGAACCGTAATCAATAGACTCCTCTGCCTGTCTGTTGTCAATTCATAACTTTACCTGCTTCCCAGCCGTGAGTGAAGGAAGGTTCACACTGAGCATAGCAGATGCCTCATACATCATGAATGATCGGTCTGAGTGTTGTCAGAAGAAAATGAGTTTACTGTTGTGTATACCCAACGAGATTTTTTCTCAATTCAATTTCTCACCTAGAGCTTTGCATTGCGGTTGCTTCCTAAACAATAGCTACAGTGAGGGAAACAAGTATTTGATCCCCTGCTGATTTTGTACGTTTGCCCACTGACAAAGAAATGATCCGTCTATAATTTTAATGGTAGGTTTATTTGAACAGTGAGAGACAGAAAAACAACAAAAAAATCCAGAAAAATGCATGTCAAAAATCTTATAAATTGATTTGCATTTTAATGAGGGAAATAAGTATTTGACCCCCTCTCAATCAGAAAGATTTCTGGCTCCCAGGTCTCTTTTATACAGGTAATGAGCTGAGATTAGGAGCACACTCTTAAAGGGAGTGCTCCTAATCTCAGCTTGTTACCTGTATAAAAGACACCTGTCCACAGAAGCAATCAATCAATCAGATTCCAAACTCTCCACCATGGCCAAGACCAAAGAGCTCTCCAAGGACGTCAGGGACAAGATTGTAGACCTACACAAGGCTGGAATGGGCTACAAGACCATCGGCAAGCAGCTTGGTGAGAAGGTGACAACAGTTGGTGCGATTATTCGCAAATGGAAGAAACACAAAAGACCTGTCAATCTCCTTCGGCCTGGGGCTCCATGCAAGATCTCACCTCGTGGAGTTGCAATGATCATGAGAACGGTGAGGAATCAGCCCAGAACTACACAGGAGGATCTTGTCAATGATCTCAAGGCAGCTGGGACCATAGTCACCAAGAAAACAATTGGTAACACACTACGCCGTGAAGGACTGAAATCCTGCAGCGCCCGCAAGGTCCCCCTGCTCAAGAAAGCACATATACAGGGCCATCTGAAGTTTGCCAATGAACATCTGAATGATTCAGAGGAGAACTGGGTGAAAGTGTTGTGGTCAGACGAGACCAAAATCGAGCTCTTTGGCATCAACTCAATTCGGCCATGTTTGGAGGAGGAGGAATGATGCCTATGACCCCAAGAACACCATCCCCACCGTCAAACATGGAGGTGGAGACATTATGCTTTGGGGATGTTTTTCTGCTAAGGGGACAGGACAACTTCACCGCATCAAAGGGACGATGGACGGGGCCATGTACCGTCAAATCTTGGGTGAGAACCTCCTTCCCTCAGCCAGGGCATTAAAAATGGGTCGTGGATGGGTATTCCAGCATGACAATGACCCAAAACACACGGCCAAGGCAACAAAGGAGTGGCTCAAGAAGAAGCACATTAAGGTCCTGGAGTGGCCTAGCCAGTCTCCAGACCTTAATCCCATAGAAAATCTTTGGAGGGAGCTGAAGGTTCGAGTTGCCAAACGTCAGCCTCAAACAAAATCCCTCCTGAGATGTGTGCAAACCTGGTGGCCAAATACAAGAAACGTCTGACCTCTGTGATTGCCAACAAGGGTTTTGCTACCAAGTACTAAGTCATGTTTGCAGAGGGGTCAAATATTTATTTGCGTCATTAAAATGCAAATCAATTTATAACATTTTTGACATGCGTTTTTCTGGATTTTTTTGTTGTTGTTATTCAGTCTCTCACTGTTCAAATAAACCTACCATTAAATGTATAGACTGATCTGACTGATGTCTTTGTCAGTGGGCAAACGTACAAAATCAGCAGGGGATCAAATACTTTTTTCCCTCACTGTATTTTTTAATTTTTTTGCTTTTTGAATGATAAATGTTCAAATTGCTGAAATAAGACTATGTTTTTATTGCATACACTACTCGTACCTAACCATGTTTTACTCCTAATACTACAACAAGATTAGAACTGCTTTGAAATCATGTGCCTTTACAGTAGCTATTACTGCATCTTTGGTATATTGGCTCATTTACAAAGGCCAAATGCCTTTCCTGTTGATCATTCATTTCCCCATTGTTTCCTCATGTATTCGTGATCCTTCCATAAGGGTGTGTTCTTCTCCTCTACCACAGAGTAAAAACCTGCATTGATTTTCCACCAGAGATGAAACGTCATTTTTCTTCTCATAACAGGGACATGACTGATGACTCCACTGAGATGGAGTCCTCATCCTCCCACTTTATTTAACTCTGCTTCCTGCTGCCAAATCAACAGGGTTGTTCAGCAACCAGACACCCATCCAGACAGGATAATATTCATGTTTTCAGGGAACTGTATGCTCTATTCAGAAAGAACAATAGCTGCTGCTGCTGCTGCTGGTGCTGGTGGTGGTATGAATTGTCCAAAGCTGAATACTGAGTATGTGTTGGACCAGGGACATTTATGGACACCTATTCAGTTCCATAAAATAATTTTTTAAACGTTGTAAATTGCCATTTTGGCTAATAGCTAAATTAGTTAGAAATAAGGACGCTATCCTAAATTCATGGAAATATGAGTGATGTGCAGGAGATTCAATCTATGTATTACATTGAGACAGCTTGTCTTTTATTCCGTATTTCCCCACTGCTACATCCTTTTAGAGTAGTCTCACTGAGGTACAGAGAGCAGACCAAGGTGCTACAGGGCTGTCTGACTCACTATTGAGTGAAAATAAAGCAGCCTTCCAGATTACTGGAGAGTTCAGTCTTTTCACAGGAGAGTTATTGTGATGGGTGAATATTAATTCATCCAGTTATTCTCATGGTCCCAATAATGGAATACAATGTTCTCTAAAGCTCCTAATCAATGTCATTTTAATGTTGAGTCCAAAGTGCCTTAGGAAGGCATGTTCGATAAACACATTTTGAAAACAATAAGTGCGTGATGTTCCTCTGCCTAATTTGTGCATGGATTGAAAGCATTGATTTTAAAAAATAAAGAAATGTTCTAATTTCTCCAATTGTTACTAATGATATGCTACATTCTTTCTTTTCTCCTGGACTGGATAGGCCTACCTCTAGGCCTGGTCATCGGTAACCTCACTCAGATAGAGTATTGATACACTTATGTTCAGCAAAGTGGGCTGTTACAGCAGGCAGGTGGAGGATTCAACTTCCAAATGGAGCCTATTACAATTGTGCCATTAAGAGCTCTTAACCTGAAACCTTCGGAAAGTATTCAGACCCCTTGACTTTTTCCACATTTTGTTACGTTACAGCTTTATTCTAAAATGGATTAAATTGTTTTTCCCCCTCATCAATCTACACACAATACCCCATAATGACAAAGCAAAAACTGGTTTTTATAATGTTATGGTAATTTATAAAAAACTGAAATATTACATTTACATAAGTATTCAGATTCTTTACTCAGTACTTTGTTGAAGCCCCTTTGGCAGCGATTACAGACTTGAGTCTTCTTGGGTATGACGCTACAAGCTTGGCACACCTGTATTTGGGGAGTTTCTCTCATTCTTCTCTGCAGATTCCTCTCAAGCTCTGTCAGGTTGGATGGGGAGTGTTGCTGCACAGTTATTTTCAGGTCTCTCCAGAGATGTTCGATCGGATTCAAGTCCGGGCTCTGGCTGGGCCACTCAAGGATACTCAGAGACTTGTCCCGAAGCCACTCCTGCGTTGTCTTGGCTGTGTGCTTAGGGTCGATGTCCTGTTGGAAGGCCCCAGTCTGAGGTCCTGAGCGCTCTGGAGCAGGTTTTCATCAAGGATCTCTCTGTACTTTGCTCTGTTCATCTTTGCCTCAATCCTGAATAGTCTCCCAGTCCCTGCTGCTGAAAAACATCCCCACAGCATGATGCTGCCTCCACCATGCTTCACCGTAGGGATGGTGCCAGGTTTCCTCCAGATGTGACGTTTTGGCATTCAAGCCAAAGAGTTTTTTATCAGAACAGAGAATCTTGTTTCTCATGGTCTGAGAGTCTTTAGGTGCCTTTTGGTAAACTCCAAGCGGGCTGTCATGTGCCTTTTACTGAGGAGTGGCTTCCTTCTGGCCATTCTACCATTAAGGCCTGATTGGTGGAGTCCTTCTGGAAGGTTCTCACATCTCCACAGAGGAACTCTAGAGCTCTGTCAGAGTGACCATTGGGTTCTTGGTCACCTCCCTGACTAAGACACTTCTCCCCCGATTTCTCAGTTTGGCCGGGCGGCCAGCTCTAGGAAGAGTCTTGGTGGTTCCAAACTTCTTCCATTTAAGAATGATGGAGGCCACTGTGTTCTTGGGGACCTTCAATGCTGCAGACATTTTTTGGTACCTTCCCCAGATCTGTGCCTTGACACAATCCTGTCTCGGAGCTCTACGGAAAATTCCTCGACCTCATTACTTGTTTTTTGCTCTGACATGCACTGTCAACTGTGGGATCTTATATAGACAGGTGTGTGCCTTTCCAAAAAATGTCCAATCAATTGAATTTACCACAGGTGGACTCCAATCAAGTTGTAGAAACATCTCAAGGATGATCAATGGAAACAGGATGCAACGGAGCTAAATTTCGAGTCTCATAGCAAAGGGTCTGAATACTTATGTAAATAAGGTATTTCTGTTTTTTTATTTATAATACATTTGTAAAGATTTCTACAAACCTGTTTTCGCTTTGTTATTATGGGGTATTGTGTGTAGATTGCTGAGGAACTTTTTATTTAATCCATTGTAGAACAAGGCTAGAACGTAACAACAAAATGTGGAAAAAGTCCAAGTCTGAATACTTTCCCGAAGGCACTGTGCATGCTGTAGACTGTACAATAACAGCAAGGTAATACACAACAGGCTTAGGTCATGGTGCTCTCATTCAGTTGTTTAGTAGTGAGATGGAACTTGGTGTCTGCTGTTGTACAATGTGTACTATTGTAGCAACAATATGATCTGTCTTGGTAACAGGTGGTGTTGGTGTGATTTCCCTGTGTAGCGGAGGAGCTGCCATGCCATTTGGCTGTTTGACACTCGGGGAGAAGAAGGATTACAACAATCCCTCAGAGGTGACTGATAAATATGACCTCGGCCAAATTGTCAAATCGTGAGTATTCCTTCACAATGCTTCACAACAACACTTATATTCTGTAGTCTGGGACTTTTAAGTAAATAGTAAAATAATGCTTCTTCCATCCAGTATAGATTTTTGTGACATTTGTATTTTGTTTTCTCTTGTGTGTGGTCCTTGTTTAGGGAGGAGTTCTGTGAGATCTTCAGAGCAAAGGACAAGAACACACTCAAAATGTTCACCTGTAAAAAGTTTCTCAAAAAGGATGGGAGGAAAGTGAGAAAAGCTGCCAAGAATGAGATCCAGATCTTGAAGATGTGAGTTATATTCAGTTTGGCTTATGCATTATTGCAGAGCTTTACCCTTGGCATCTGAAATGCCACAGAAATGCATGAATCATTGTGTGTTAAAATGTAACATTTATGCAATTGAAATTGAAAAAACACCATAGCGATAGTTAACAGAAATTACTTACTAACCGTTACTAATTACTGATGTTACACATGCTGTTCCCATAACATCCCCATAACGTTTCCATAACACCACTCCTGTTCAGCTTGAATTCTCCATTAGCCTTTAACAATGCAAAGTTCTTCGACTACCAAAAACTCTGAAGCGAGCAAAGGAAATGTACCTTTTCTGGTTACAATAACGCAATATCTCTTTAGCAGTCCAGTCTGAAATTAGCATGGAGTAGGATCTGTAATGAATGAGCCACAGACCCCAATCTGTAATTGAAAAATATATATATTCAAATGTAATTAAAACACTTAGGTCATTCAATTAATATAACAATAGAATATGCCAATCAAGATTCCTTGAAAGACCAAATGAAATGTCTTATTAGCACACGTTAGTGCTGTAGTGAGACCAATCTCTAGGTTGAATTAATTCATCAGGATTTCACTGGAATTGGAAATGGTCCACTTCCCATACAGATCGAAATATAATCATTAAGCCACTCATACAATATCACAAGTAATGTCCATTTTTGTCTATACTGATTTTATTCAGTGCATGAGTAGGCATTCCATAATCTGAATTTAACTTGAATTGGAAAAGGTCCAATTCTCTAATGGTTATTAAATCATTAAACTACTAATACAAATTATCAAATGTAATGTCTTTTAATGAATCCTAGTTAATCTTGGTTTATAATTGCTCAATATATGACTTTGTTTTTATCTGTTTCCCTCTGTGTCTCCCTCCCTCTTTCACAGGGTAAAACATCATAACATCCTCCAGCTGGTTGATGTCTTTGAAACTAGGAAGGAGTACTTCCTCTTCCTCGAGCTGTGAGTGTTATTGGAGGTTATTGAGTGACATTGGTTAGGGCTTTTTATTTGTATATGTTCCCTTGAAGTCATCATGGTTCCGTTCCACTGATAACACCATTAGGGAGTGTACAAAAAGATAGCCTACCTACGTCCTGCAGACTTGCCAATGCATACTTACCTTTCTGAACCCCTGTGTGAAATGTCTATTTTCCATATCCTCCTGGAGAATCTCATCTGAGAGTTGATTTTGACTTCTATAGTGTTGCAAGAGGCCTACAGTACATTTTAATGATATGACACACACCAGTGGTTTTCTCTGGATGTTCTTCTCTGCAGAGCTACAGGCAGAGAGGTCTTTGACTGGATCTTAGACCAAGGCTACTACTCGGAAAGGGACACCAGCAACGTTGTCAGACAGGTGTTGGAAGCCGTGGCCTATCTGCACTCCCAGAGAATTGTCCACAGGAACCTCAAGGTATACTGCACACACACAACACTCTGCTCCCATCTGGTGTTTCATAGATGTTATTACACCACAGGCCACTCAGTCGGGTGACGGCATTAGAAATGAGAAATGTAGCTACTTTGCCCTCTGCACGAAATTAACATTAATTATATGGCACCCTGAGTAATTGTCCAACCTGCCAATGATGTATATTTTTCTCATGCTTTCTACATACCAAAAAGGAGTTATGATCTATTGACATACACTTTGTTTTGTCTCACACAGCTGGAGAACTTGGTGTACTTCAACCGCCTGAAGCACTCCAAAATAGTGATCAGTGACTTCCACCTGGCCAAGCTGGAGAACGGACTCATCAAGGACCCCTGTGGAACCCCAGAGTACCTTGGTGAGGGGGTAGGGAAGGGGGCAGATCATAGACTTATGGGGGCAAATGGGTTTGACATCAGAGTAACGGTGTTTGGACAACTTTAGAGCTACAGTTGAAATCGGAAGTTTACATACACCTTAGCCAAATACATTTAAACTCAGTTTTTCACAATTCCTGACATTTAATCCTAGTAGAAATTCCCTGTCTTAGGTCAGTTAGGATCACCACTTTTTTTTTTAAGAATGTGAAATGTCAGAATAATAGTAGAGAGAATGATTTATTTCAGCTTTTATTTATTTCATCACATTCCCAGTGGGTCAGAAGTTTACATACACTCAATTATTATTTAGTAGCATTGCCTTTAAATTGTTTAACTTGGGTCAAACGTTTTGGGTAGCCTTCCACAAGCTTCCCACAATAAGTTGGGTGAATTTTGTCCTATTCCTCCTGACAGAGCTGGTGTAACTGAGTCAGGTTTGTAGGCCTCCTTGCTCGCACACACTTTTTCAGTTCTGCCCACAAATGTTCTATAGGATTGAAGTCAGGGCTTTGTGATGGCCACTGCAATACCTTGACTTTATTGTCCTTAAGCCATTTTGCCACAACTTTGGAAGTATGCTTGGGGTCATTGTCCATTTGGAAGACCCATTTGCGACCAAGCTTTAACTTCCTGACTGATGTCTTGAGATGTTGCTTCAATATATCCACATAATTTTCCTTCCTCATGATGCCATCTATTTTGTGAAGTGCACCAGTCCCTCCTGCAGCAAAGCACCCCCACAGCATGATGCTGCCACCCCCGTGCTTCACGGTTGGGATGGTGTTCTTCGTCTTGCAAGAGACCCCCTTTTTCCTCCAAACATAATGACGGTCATTATGGCCAAACATTTCTATTTTTGTTTCATCAGACCAGAGGACATTTCTCCAAAAAGTACGATCTTTGTCCCCATGTGCAGTTGCAAACCGTAGTCTGGCTTTTTTATGGCGGTTTTGGAGCAGTGGCTTCTTCCTTGCTGAGCGGCCTTTCAGGTTATGTCGATATAGGACTCGTTTTACTGTGGAAATAGATGCTTTTGTACCTGTTTCCTCCAGCATCCTCACAAGGTCCTTTGCTGTTGTTCTGGGATTGATTTGCACTTTTCGCACCAAAGTACGTTCAATCTCTAGGAGACAGAACACGTCTCCTTCCTGGGCGGTATGACGGCTGCGTGGGCCCATGGTGTTTATACTTGCGTACTATTGTTTGTACACATGGACGTGGTACCTTCAGGTGTTTGGAAATTGCTCCCAAGGATGAACCAGACTTGTGGAGGTCTACACATTTTTTTCTGAGGTCTTGACTGATTTCTTTGGATTTTCCCATGATGTCAAGCAAAGAGGCACTGAGTTTGAAGGTAGGCCTTAAAATACATCCACAGGTACACCTCCAATTGACACAAATGATGTCAATTAGCCTATCAGAAGCTTCTAAAGCCATGACATCATTTTCTGGAATTTCCCAAGCTGTTTAAAGGCACAGTCAACTTAGTGTATGTAAGCTTCTGACCCACTGGAATTGTGATACAGTGAATTATAAGTGAAATAATCTGTCTGTAAAGAATTGTTGGAATAATTCCTTGTGTCATGCACAAAGTAGATGTCCTAACCGAATTGCCAAAACTATAGTTTGTCAACAAGAAATTTGTGGAGTGGTTGAAAAACGAGTTTTAATGACTCCAACCTAAGTGTATGTAAACTTCCGACTTCAACTGTATATACCACATTGCTACCTCTTCAGCATTCCATTTTTCTATGAATTAATATTGGATTCTGTGTGTCTTCCTGCAGCTCCTGAGGTGGTGGGACGTCAGAGGTATGGAAGGCCAGTGGACTGCTGGGCCATCGGGGTCATCATGTATATTCTGTGAGTGTTTTTATGTCCTCAGTTCACTAGAGTTTACAGTGTCTTGCCCATACAGTTCTCATGTTATTGTCCATCTCAGGTGACTATGAACTCTGTCTTGTTTTCCCTTACCCCAGCCTGTCAGGAAACCCCCCTTTCTACGACGAAATGGAAGATGACGACTATGATAATCACGACAAGAATCTTTTCCGCAAGATTCTGTCAGGAGACTATGAGTTTGACTCACCGTACTGGGATGATATCTCTGACTCAGGTATATAACACTATAATTCGAGATCAAATCAAAATGCAGTACTACGTAGCACATCTAGGAAACAGTAGATGGGAAAAGTAAGTTTTTTAGGCGTGTCCACTTCTGTTTGCTTCAGAGGAGAGAAAGAGCAGATGTGTACAATCACCTCGACTAACCTGTACCCCCGCACATTGACTCGGTACTGGTACCCCTGTATATAGCCTGGTTATTGGTATTTTACTGTTGCTCTTTAATTTTTTTTACTTTAGTTTATTTAGTAAATATTTTCTTAACTCTTATTTTTCTTAACTGCATTGTTGGTTAAGGGCTTGTAAGTAAGCATATCACAGTAAGGTCTACACCTGTTGTATTCAGTGCATATGACAAATAACATTTGATTTGATTTTTTTATTTGTTGTACAGCGAAAAGCCTGGTGGCAAGTCTGATGGAAGTGGAGCAGGATCAAAGACTGACTGCACAGGAGGCCATCAACCATGAATGGTATGGATTGATCCAAGATTAAAATAATAACAAGTGTGCAGTATGTGTATGTGTTTTTGTTGGTTTTCTTTTTACCTGTCCCTTGTTTCAGGATTTCTGGGAATGCAGCTTCTGATAAGAACATCAGGGATGGAGTGTGTGGGCAAATTGAAAAGAACTTTGCCAAAGCCAAGTGGAAGGTACTCTTCCTTTCTGTCAAACAAACTTTTTTTGGTACTTTTGACCATAATTGTTTTACTTGGCTGCACTGCATAATGCATGAATGTTGTGCATATGAAGTTCTATTCATTCACTGCACAGTTTCTTCACTTAGATGATAGCGTTCTAAAAATATATTTCTATGGTCTTGCTCTTCCACAGAAAGCTGTACGGGTCACAACAATGATGAAGAGGCTTCGAGCTCCAGAACACAGTGACTCAGGGGCTTCCAGCCCGGTTCCAGGGGCCTCTGCTGGCCCTGTCACCCCCAGCAACACTCCAGTACCCTCAGCTGATGCTCCTGAGGGCACCCCTGCCAGCACAGAGGTCTCGGTCACCCTCCAGGTCCCTGACTCACAGAATCCACCCACCATCATCACTCCTGATTCTCCCTCCCAGCCCGGCCCGGCTCCTGAGGAGCCAGAGGCAGAGCCCCTGGAACGGTGTAACGGTGACGCCGCAGCACCCCTCCAAACACCCCCACAAACACAGGAGGATCAGAATGGCTAGACAGAGCAGGACCAGTGCCACCCTCACCACACACACTCTGTTAATTACACCACGCCCCACCCTCCATCTTGCAGCATTAGTGCAGAATCATCTCACTGTCTGTTTTATCTTGAACATTTGGTCTGCACCCTGTGATCGTTTGAGATGGCCTGTCTATCTTTAGCATTGTTTCCTCTCACTATTTTCCCCTCCAGTTTTAAGGATACTCATTCTTTTGAAAATGGTTCAAAGTGTGTGAGGAATACTATTTGTTTTGAGCAGGTCTAGGAAATGTCTCAGTCTCACACTTTCTCTTCAATTAATTACTTTTCATTTCATGGAAATCTAAATTCTATAAATCTATCTGTTTGAATCTGAATCACGCCTTTAGTGCAATTCTTAGACACCTACAGTACATGTTTGTAATGTCCTGCCTCCTTGGTTCCATCTCTTAGATAGGCAATTTCCAAATCTGTTTGCTACTGTACCCTAGCCGATATGTTAGCGAGAAATTATCCTCAAAGCAACTGATAACTGCTTATTCTGTCTTTATACTCCCATTTATGGAAAGAAGAAAGAAATCTGTAAGAAAGTCTGTCTGGTTGATTCATGGTCCCAGTAAAATACTGTACAGGCCTTTATTAAAATTTAGCAAATAGTAGCTCATGTTGTATGTAATTAGTTTAAGATAGTGTCAAGCCTGTTACACGGTGTGGTGTCTATGTTTTAAGCATCTTTTAGCTGAGCTGAAGGGTTGCCAAAGTATTATGTAAATCTATGAATTGAGCAAAATTCTTATTGCTGTATAAAACTGTGACCCTTTTCTGAATTTCTTTAATTGTGACTGATTAGTATGAGTTTTTTTCCTCCATATGCCATGACCAGCCAATTTCACCTGATTGCTTTTCATAATGACATTCGTCATTGTTTAAAAACGTAGTACCTATGGAGGTATGGTACATTAGAAAATATTTGTAACTTACAGATCATACACTTTACACGTTATTGTTTACACTAATGAATTGTTTACACATGAATACCTGTAAAGCTGAAAAGTATATTCTTAATTCACTTATTCATATCATGGGAGCCACCACACAAGTATGTGAAAAAACAAAGCAATGATTTTATCAAGCCTCACACGTTTAAAAGTATGCTACAAGGTTAATGTATGCTATTATAAGTATGCTATTATTATGTATTTATTTAGCGACTGTACATTTTCTTGTATTTTGAGTCATGTCCCTCGTATTTAGTCTCTGTATTCCTTGACTGTAATCTATAATAAAATTAATGGGGATTCACAAGTTATATATTTTTGATGCACAATGTATAGGTGCCTAAAAGGTGAGTTGCTTTTCTAAATTCTAGCAATCATCTTTGCAAGCTATGTGTAGGTTTATGGTCCAGTAACTAACATCAAAGTCAGAGAAACCAACGTATCACCCTCATTTCATTACAGAAAAGTAATCCTCTGTCATCACATCCTGCATCGGGGGTTGCTGAAATTACACACAAAAAAGTGCAAGCAAGCGAGTTATGTGATTATATGTCTTTACTGGATGCACTGAGAAAGTTAACTAACGTTTGATAAACTTAATCTTGAGACTTATAAGTTAATATATAACGTTAAGTTATATATAATATAAGTTAATATAATTATATTCATGTGTGGTGTTATCTTGTGTTACATTAGCTATCTAAAGTTACAGGTTGAGGTTTGTCACAAAACATGATATGCTAAGGCTGGCGGATTAGCCAGGCTGTCAATTGCCACCTCGCTGGTAACAACGATGAGTCTGTTTTTTAGTTTCCATTTACTCGCAGAATAATAATTTTTTTCTGGCCTCCTGCTCCACTTCATACAAGTGCCCTTTTCTCCCCCGGGTAAAATTGTTTAGGTTGGCTAGCTATCTAGACTGGGCTAGTATAAAAGTATAGTATTTTCAGACTGGGCTAGTATAAAAAGTGCAAAACTAGAAATTGTGTATTTTCAAACATCCCATGGCACAGATTTTCAACCTGAATGTTACCGGGCTAGTAGAAATTGCTGTCTCCAAAAGCCCAACTGGCCAGTGCCCAAAATCCTTAAATCCATCCCTGCTTGCAAGCATCCGATTAGTATGAAAGGAACAGCAACTAATGTCGAATGGCGCCAAATAACTTTACATGCACTGCTCTCACTCGAGAGCATGCGTTGTTCGACCACCTTTGCCGAGCGAGTTTATCCAAGAAAAGTAAACGTTTCTTGAGTGTATCTAGCGCATCGTTTTTTGAGTAAAGTTAAATTGAAGCCGTTTCCCAGCGCACTGATATAATAATCAATTCTAGCATTGTATTATGTTTACGGTTTTGACCAATGATTTATATATACACTAGATGACTGACAGGGGGCGCTGTTTTGGCACATATTTATTAATGTATGCATTTATTTTTGCCACATTTATTCTATTACAGACCCCTTAATGCGTACTTTTAAATTATATTATGTTAACTAAACATAACAATTGAAGTATAAAAAATATCTAAAAACATTTTCCTCAAAGTATAATTTTTAGTTCTAATGTTACTGTCCCAACTACAAATGGAGGACTGCGTCTTGGTTCTGACTAGAGGGAGTACAGCTACAACCGGAAGTGACATTTTCGTAGCAGGTTAGGATACATTTATGCAGCAGGTTAGGGTAATTAACGTGGCGGGTTAGGAGACTTAAGTTAAGGTTAGGAAAGGGGTTAGGGTTAGCTAAAATGCTCTCCTAACCTGCTACGAAAAGTCACTTCCGGTCATAGCTATACTCCCTCTAGTCACAACCCTGCTTCTTCCGGGGATTGTCAATATGGCCGACTGGTGGCTTCAAAGCCTCTTACTGGGCAATACATAGCATCTATCGTATATATCTGACATCACGAAGGTGTGTCAACTAAAATACTGTATATATATTCCAGACAAGATTGAAGAATGGGACAAGTAGACAAAGTGAATATAGAGAGAGTAACTGCTGCTGTACTCACAGGTAAGGCCCTTGCTTCCAGTACCGCTGAAGGCAACAGTCTTCAATCAGGCAGCTTGAAGATGTGTCACCATTCAGGCCCTTGTCACAGCATGCAGTGGCCTGTTCGGGAGATTATAATAAATGCATTATGTACCTGTCATCACCAAAGCCATGTTAGTATTTACTGCACATGTTGCTGAACAATTCAACCCTTTTGTTAGTGTCACTGATATATGGAAATTCACATACAATATTCAGTTCATAAGCATTGACTGTAGTACCTCTAGGGCAGGGGCAGGCAACCTGGACTTCATGTTTTTTTATTTAACTGACCTGGAAGACCAGATGTGTTAAATTTAGGCAGTCACTGAACTGATCAATTAGCCCAGTTGGTCAGGGCTGCATTCAGTACATAAAAAGGTAATTGAACGAAACGGTGCTGTACTGAACGACCAGTTGAAAAACGGGGAGGGGTTGGGTTGTGGGTTAAATGCACCGCTGTCACTCATTGCTTCAAGCCACACCCCGGCACACCCACTGAACAGAGCAAACAGATCTCAAAGTCTGTTCAAGAACGTTTTGGGAAAACGTGGCGTTCAGTACAAACCGTTCCGCAAGGTAGCAAACATTTACGCAAACTGAACACACCCCTGGTGTGGTGCCAAGTTGGAACAAAATCCTGCAGTAGTCCAGGAACAGGGGTCGCCTACCCTTGCTCTAGGGTCCTGTGGTGAAACGTCTGCTGTGCAAGGTATTGGGCAACAGCTTGTTTCCAGGGCCCATATTCACAAATCGTCTCAGAGTAGGGATAGTGATTAATAATAACTTCCCCTTGTCCACAGGAGCATGGTGGCACCTTCATTGGGGAGGACGGGCTCATAGTAACGGCTGGAACGGAGTAAGTGGAATGGTATCAAATACATCCAACACATGGTTTCCATGTGATTGATGCCATTCCATTCTCTCCATTCCAGCCATTATTATGAGCCGTCCTCCCCTCAGCAGCCTCCACTGCCCTTGTCAATGTAAATTTACTCAGTGTGAAGGCAAAACATCCTAAAATCAGTACTACTCTGAGACTTTGTGAATATGGGCCCTGGCCTGTCAGCATGTTGGCCTGTCAGCAATGCCACTCCACCTGAAATGCAACAACAACAAAAACATGAATAAGAATTAGCTTAGTTAGTAAGTAACTTAGCCAACTAGCTAATGAAACACTAACGTAAATGTGCACAAGCCCCCTAATCAGCCAAATTATATGAAAACACCACAGCCTATTGGCAGTAAAATTAGGAGAGGCATTTTTCAAACTTTCAGTTTGACAAAAACTGTTCAAATAGTCAGTAACTAGCTAGTCTTTAAAATATAGCTACCAATTATATAGCTAGTTGTTCTTTTCTAGAAACCCAGCTAGTACTGTTGGGCCGTTCTTACAGCATTCTCCCTGTACACCAAGCCAGTGATGATTTTAGCATGTCAATCTTGGTGGGGCAAAAAAACTAATATATATATATGGGATGCATGCCATCAAAGCCACTACACAACACTAAACAATACATTAATTGTACTATAACGGTGACAAACGGTGCCCACAAACTGTTAGGGCCTACATAAAGCTTTCCCAACAGCAGTCCCGACACCTTACCACTGCTACACCTGGCTATCAGCGGAGCCTTGTCTGGCAGCGAAACAGTTCACTCAGCCTCATTTACTGCCTTTTAAAAAAACATAGCTGATATGGCTGACTTGCTTAAACAAATGTGGTTTCTACTGACAATTGAGATGTACAAACTATGGCATAAGGGGACGACAAGCGCATAAGAGGCAATCCGTAATTTTGATTAAGACGTTAATGAGTGAGCTAGGACAGACGTAGTCAATATAACTATTTGTTCAGCACTTTTGAAATGTACAGTGACAGAATTCCGAACATGGGCCGTTCTTACAGTATTCTCCCTGTACACCAAGTCAGAACCGTAGAATAAATAAAGGGTGCATATAAGCAGACAATGAAAGCTCTTACAATATTCAATGATGACATTTCTCTAAAACAGGCTATAGGCTAAATGTGCACAACCAAGTCAGAACAGTAGGCTAAGTTATGAGGGGAAAAGGGACCAAATTATTAGGGTGAGGCACATGGGCTACTAACAGCTTATTACACAACATACACTTAGTATTACTTTCTTTGCTACAGTATACATATCTCCCTGGCATATTACATCATTTATGCAGCAGCATACAATACATTTTTGGACTCACCTTTTTGTGCTGTGCTCACTTGAACAGGAAGGTGGCGTGGCGGTCCTTCGTGGGCAAATCTTGTCATCAAACCTTGTCATCAAAGTCTGGACTTCTCTGGATTTATGGTGCTTTCAAGACAACTGGGAACCTGGAAAGAAACAAGGTTGAATCATGACGTCAGTGATCTTCAGGTCGGAGCTCTAGAAAGAGGCCCAAGTTCCCGACTTGGAAGTCCGAGTTGGATGACTGTTCCCAGTTGTCTTGAACACTGAAGTCTGAGATTTCCCAGTTCAGAGTTTCCAGTTGTTTTGAACGCGGCAGAAGTCACGTCTGGAGGAAACCTGGCACCATCCCTACGGTGATGCATGGTGGTGGCAACATCATGCTGTGGGGATGTTTTTCAGTTGCAGGGACTTGGAGACTAGTCAGGATCAAGGGAAAGATGAACCGAGCAAAGTACAGAGAGATCCTTGATGAAAACCTGCTCCAGAGCGCTCAGGACCTCAGACTGGAGTCGAAGGTTCACCTTCCAACAGGACAACAACCCAAAGCACACAGCCAAGATAACACAGGAGTGGCTCTGAATGTCCTTGAGTGGCCCAGCCAGAGCCCGGACTTAAACCCGATCGAACATCTCTTGAGAGACCTGAAAATAGCTGTGCAGCGACGCTCCCCATCCAACCTGACAGAGCTTGAGAGGATCTGCAGAGAGGAATGGGAGAAACTCTCCAAATACAGGTGTGCCAAGCTTGTAGCGTCATACCCAAGAAGACTCAAGGCTGTAATCGCTGCCAAAGGTCCTTCAACAAAGTACTGAGTAAAGGGTCTGAATACTTATGTAAATGTGATATTTCAGTTTTGTATTATTTATACATTTGCAAACATTTCTAAAAACCTGTTTTTGCTTTGTCATTATGGGGTATTGTGTGTAGATTGATGAGGGGGAAAAAAAACAATTTAATCCATTTTAAAATAAGACTGTAACGTAACAAAATGTGGAAAAAGTAAAGGGGTCTGAATACTTTCCGAAGGCACTGTATGTGTCCCTTGTAGCAGCAAGCTGA